AGCAAATGCTTTTTAAGAACAACTAAACATTTGTGTTAGCCTTGTTTTGATATTTAGCAAATGACTAAAATACAGGAAATGACTTGTCAACTTTACTTCTATTTTTGTTTCTTATTTTGTTAATTTTAAACATTTATACTGTATCCTTTCATTTTTAAATGGTGCATGTCCTGTATTTGTATCTTCTTAGGGTTCTACAACCCCCCAAAGCGCTTTACAACACAATCAGTCATCCATCCATTCAAACACACATTCACGCACTGGTGGGGATGAGCTACGATGTAGCCACAGCTGCCCAGCGGTGCACTGACAGAGGCAATGCCTGCTGCAGGTGTCACCAGCCCCTCCACCCACCATAGGCAAGGGGGGGTTAAGTGTCTTGCTCAAGGAAACAGCAGCAGCATTCTCTGGTCAGTGCCGGGATCGAACCTGCAACCTTCAGATTACTGGACAACCCGCTCTACCTCCTGAGATACTGCTGTTTTTGAATGACCTATTAAGATTATAAGTTTGTGATAGCTAAATAATTTACAGATTTATTCTCTTGCTATTGTTATAAAATAAAATAAACTGATTTTAGGTCGTTTGTAGCGTCTTTTGATGTAAAAGTTCCTGGAGGGCCTTTGTTCAGAGAAGTAGCTTTTACAGGACTGATAAGCTAACAGCTAGTCTGAGAGCAGCCAAAACCAAAATATATTGCAGACATTTTATACTGCATCAATTTACTGAATTTCATTGCCGTCTATTAGATATTCTTTAATGAATGTTTACAATGCTGTCGTGTCAACCGGACGCTGTTCTTTAAGGAACGGATATTTAACATATTACTGCAAACTTCTGGTGGATCCAGGAGGTCAAGTCCATTTGGATTTTCTTATTATTTCTGCCAAAATAAAAATATTGTAGATTTGTCTGACAGACTTTCACTTACTTTAAAGATGTACAGAGAAAAAAAGAGTGTTTAATATTAAAGCTGTAACAGCTCGTAGAGAAATCCTTTTTACTCCAAACTGGGTGTTCAGCTAACTAAAATGAGTAAGATCTTACTTTGTCATTTTCAAAAAGGTAAAAAAAAAATCTCATTATGTGTATATATTTAATTACTGAATTTTTTAAAAATTATTATTATTTATTATATTTAGCCGCTTTTTCTTGTCAAGATCATAGGGAGCTAGTGCCAGTCTCCAGCAGTCATCACGCCAGAGGTGGGGGACACCCTGGACAGGACACCAGTCCATCAGGGACACAAACAACCAGTCACACACTCACTCATAGCTAGGGAATATCCAGTCTCCAATCAACCTAACATGTGTGTTGTTGGCATGTGGGGGGAGAACATGCCAACTCAATACAGACAGCCTGCAGCCGATGTCGGTGCAGGATCGGCTCGCGGTCCTTCGACTGCCGATGACGTCAAAGTAGTTGATTGGCTGAACATGAAGCTTACGGAAGTTTAATTATCACGTTATGATTTTGATTGGTCAGAACAAATTTGCGGTCATAGTCTTAGCGGTTGTAGTCCTGTAGTCGAAAAATCAACAGTTTTTGGAGAAAATATGTTTGAATTTCTAAAGGAAATGTAAAATATAAGCAAATGATAAACGGTGATCCTCAAAAGCTCTTGATGTTGGTGAAATGGGGCAAAATAAAATATAAGAACTTTATTGAAAGACACCAAGCAATATTTTGATTCAAAGGATGTATTTAGATAACAACTAAGGAAATACACAGACGAATTCCACATTAATACAAACAGATATGACTTCACATATAAGAACTGTTCTATTTTTTGTCAGTCCGATGTTGGTTTTATGCAGTTTCACATTCTTTACAAAACAAAGATAATATGGTGTTTTATTAAAAAATTACAATTATAAAGAAAACATTTAGGTGTTAACAAACAAGAATTTATTAACAAAACTGCTGATGTCTTTCCAAAACGTATGTGTGAAAGCCGAGTAGATTTGCAGTAATGTGACGTCATCGGCAGTCGAAGGACCCCGAGACCCCGAGCAGATCCTGTACCGACACCGGGATTCAAGCGTGCAACCTTTTCACTGCAAGGCAAGAGTCCTGTGCCCACATGCAACCAATTTTTTCAAACTTCTACTTTTATTTGTTGGTTATTTTTTTCTTTTTTGCATTGAAAATATTTGTTATTTCCTATAATTACATCACATGAACAAATTAATATTTACCTAAGTCACAAACATTCTAACAGGGCAAACTGGACATGCCCGATATGCACAAAATGACTACAATGTGCCACTTATTAAAGTGACAGTGTTTATATTTCCTGGCGATAGGGGGCAGTAGATACCTAAATTGTTGCAAGCAAGCTGTATTTTTGTGTTGGAGTAAGACTTTACCAATGAATGCCCATTAGGGTCAAAAAGCCTTGGGAGTGCAAACTTCAGCAAAATGACGACACATCAGACTCCCTTTCATCAGTGGAAATGGGTTAAGAGTAAACAACAATGTTTATGAATGGTGAAAGTTTAGCAACCGCTTGTTACAAATCAGTAAATACATTTTGTCCTCAACGGCTCCTGTAGAAGGAAACATGGCATCTAATATGGCGTCGCCCTGAGACTTAGACCCGCTCCCATGTATTTTGGACCTGATTTTTATGGTTATATGTTAAGAAGCTGCCAAGATTTTTCAACAACTGAGTATCATTTCATTCATTTTCAACAACGTTTTGATGGATATTTCCAGAGATTAACGATAAAAACCTACACATTGCCCCATTAATGAAGCATAAATCAAATGGCATTGTTAACGGTAAATGGTTTGTATTTGAAATAGCACCTTCTGGAGTCCTGTAACCCCCCCAAGGCACTTTACAACACAATCAGTCATTTACCCATTCACACCCACATTCGCACCCTGGTGGTGATGAGCTACACTGTAGCCACCAGTCCTTCTGAACACCACCAGCAGGCAAGATGGGTTAAGTGTCTTGCCCAAGGACACAACGGCAGCATCAGACTGCGTGGGGCTCGAACCTGCAACCTTCTGCACTTAACTCCTGTGCCACTGTCGCCCAATGACTAGGAAATTATTTTAATATTTGCTTTATAAATAAAACAAAACTAATCTTTCAGATCTGGTGTATTTAATTAAAACAAACCTTTTATATTTTTTCCACGTTTCTGTTTTTTGCAAAAAAGAAAACGCGCCCTCAGACATCATGGTTCCATTAACACCGACCATTACATGAGCCGTCTGTTTAATTCACCAAACTGTGAAAATGCCACAGGGAGTTAAATCGACATCACATGAAGAGAGGCTTTTGTTTTTGTGGGTTGTTTATGAGCCTGTCCATCTTTTCTGTTCAGTTGCTGTGATTGTGTTAAAACAACAACGCATCATTAGCCGAGCACAAACACAGACAGGAGACCTGCAGATCCATCACAGCTGACATTCTACTACACTGCTTTGACTGGCAGATTATTTCAGAGGTAAATGCAGAATAAAATGAAAATTTAAAAAGCCAAATTGCACTCCACTGATCTGTTTATAAAACCTGCTGGTGTCACGGTCTGGGTCCTGCGTCTCCCTCATGTGTCTCCTTGTGTTCTCCATCCCTCTCTAGGTTTCCCTCATGTGTCTCCTTGTGTTCCTCATGTATCTCCTTGTCTGCATCCCTCCTCATGTGCCTCCTTGTGTTCCCTGGCCCACTCCAGTTTTTTTCCCTTAGGTGTTCCCCCTAGGTTTCAGTGTCCCTGTGGTTCCCCAGCCCCCTCCAGGCTCTCTCTAGGTTTCCCTCGCGTTTTTCCTTAGTTAAAGCCTAGTTTATGCTTCTCCGTCAGCTCCACAAGGGACAGACATGCACGGATTGACGGAAGCGTTTTGCTCTCATACTTCTCCGTCTCCTGGAGAGTGTTGCAAAGCAATTGCCCGGCAGGACCACAGAGGGCGTAGCGCTGTTCTGTGGTATCCTGTCATGTATCGGTCCAAGATAGTGTGTTTATATTGTGTTTTTTGTGTATATAAGAGACTTTTAACACGGACATATTTGTCTCTCATTCTCCCACCGCTTCATGCGCTCCCCACCTCTAAACCCACGTTTCCTGTCATTTCCGTCCACAAATAAAACGCTTGCTGCGCATCTTTTCACTCCTCCAGTCACGGGAGGATGAAACGTTCATATTTTTAGAGTTTTTTCGCGAGGTATTCTTCAAGCTTCTCCGTGTCTGCCGCTAGTTAAACTCGGCTCTCTTTGCAATGGCGGCGCTGTAAACAACAGCGGCGTCCTGACCAATCACAAGCTTGCGTAATCCATTTCGTTCGATGGATGTTTAAAAAAGTGGGCTCGACTCCGTACGTACTTGCGTGCCTGCCGGAGCCCTACGCAAGGACGGATAATGGCATTGCGTGTCTCCGCACTGACGCAGACGGAGAAGCATAAATCAGGCTTAACTTTTATCGTTAGTCTTCTGTTAGTGTTTATCTAGTCAGTATTCTCCATTTAGTTCATTTTGCTCCCTTCCCCATTTTTAGGTCTGGTTTCCTCCCCTGCTCCGTTGTGCTCCTCCTCTTGTTTATTGGTCTCACCTGTGCACAATCCCCTAATCACCCAGCCCTTGTGTATATAACCCTGTCTGCGTCTCAATGCGATAGTGGTCCATTGTCCTTGTCAGCGTTGTTTGTCCCCCCCCCCCCCCCCCCCCCCAGCTCTCTAGGTTTCTGGCTTCGTGCTCTCTTAGGTTTCTAGGTTGTTGTTTTTTTTTTTTTGGCTATGTCATTCTTAATAAAGAATTATTTTTTTTTACATCCCCTCCTGCCTTGTGTCGTTCTGGGTATCTGCACATTGGGTCCAACTCCTCCAACCCACAACGTGACAGCTGGGAAGAGTTTATGAATTAATCTCCCTACAAGATGGAATAAAAATGCCTGCCAGCTGACTCGCAATTTCATCACGATCACAAGTTACTAAATGAAGACTTTTCTGAGCTCAAAGTGGATAAACTCAAAGAATAAAAACAGACTAGTACCGTTATCTTCAACGGAGAAATGGAAGACATCTGAAGTGGCATTTTCATCATTCCGCAGAACATAACAGATGTGCAGGTCATCGATGTCAGCTGGAAGAAAAAGAACACGCTTTATTAGTTTGTCTCAGGATATAAAATAGATGTGAAAACAAAATCTGAGATAATATCTGACAAAAGACAATCACACAAGTTACTGAAAAATGCAAATCAGGGTCAGCTGACACGGTTTTAAATGGCTGCAGCAGAGTCGGCGCGAGGTGATGCATGATGAAAATCTAAAACACAAACAGGTCATGGAACAGATACGTCCTTGTCAACATTTAAAATGTCATTTAAGAAAGAATTTGCATTTCAAGATTAAAATAACTTTCATGTCTTTTTTCTTTTCCATGTCATTTTTCATGCTGACTACACAAATAGCCTCAAACATGCTTTGAAGTTGCATTGCAGCTTTATGGCTTGTTCAAACAGTCCCTCCGTCAAATAAGTGTTCAAAGACGCAAGCTGTCCCGCTTTAGAGAAGTGTGGACCGCAGTAACAGCAGGTCTCTCGTATCACACTGATTCAATTACTTATCAGCACTCGGCATGAACAATTTCCTAGCAGAGGAATCGCCTTTGAAAGAGTGTTAATCCGGTACGGCAGCTACCTGAAATCCAACACGGCTCCAACCCTGACGGCTGTTTGTGTCAACGCCTTAAGAACCAGGCGATGTGGGATCTTTTAATGACAGACGGAGGAAGAATGTTAAAAACAGGATAGCGCTACACATCTGCTTCCCCAAAAACTTTGCTGAATTACAGGGCTGTGCACCTTTTAGCCCCCAAACACACAATACAGTGCAAAAGAAAAATCATCAACACTGTGAAAGAGCTTGGCCCCTGCAAACCATCCCTTTCAATAATAGATGTCTGAGGAAGGAGGTTCATAAAAGTATAAACTTCTGACTGGGGATGTCAGCCTCCTGCTGCATCTGGCCTCCTGTCACTGCTGCTTCTCCCTTTCCACTCATGATCTATAATTATTTTACATTTGTCTATTTTCCAGCTTTCAGGTTTGCATTATGCAGCGCTGCAAGGAAAACAACGTTCTATGCGACAGACTTGAACCTGAGGACCTTACAAATAAAAAGTTAACACTAGGAACAGGGGGAGCACGCTGTTCATTCAATATTTAAACAGAACACCTCTTGGGAAGTGCCCTGGAAATGGAACGAGTAAATAAAGAGCAAAGGATTGTCTCTTTCACCTGACTGATTCTTCTGACGAGCCTGCTCAGTCTCTCTGACTCAATCTCTCGTGACCCCTTCCCTCACTCTTTATTTCACTCATGTCACCTACATCACCTCACTCCATCCCCACCCACCTCTTTTCACACTCTCTCCCCCACTTCTGTGCTTCTCTTTCTTTCTTTCTTTCTTTCTTTCTTTCTTTCTTTCTTTCTTTCTTTCTTTCTTTCTTTCTTTCTTTCTTTCTTTCTTTCTTTCTTTCTTTCTTTCTTTCTTTCTTTCTTTCTTTCTTTCTTTCTTTCTTTCTTTCTTTCTTTCTTTCTTTCTTTCTTTCTTTCTTTCTTTCTTTCTTTCTTTCTTTCTTTCTTTCTTTCTTTCTTTCTTTCTTTCTTTCTTTCTTTCTGCACTCCTGTCTCATCTGTACGTTTTTACTTAAAGAGCGCAGCCGCATAGCAATTCTCAGAAGTCTGTGTCCTTCAGCCTCAAGAGGTCTTTCTCACTCTGTGTTCTCTACTAATGTCTGAGCTTGCATCAAGCAGGTGACTTTTTCTCACTTGCTGGCTTAATTGGCTCCACGTGATCATTATGTTAATTTAAATCACAATTGTTATTATTGTCTCCATTCTCTTTGCTACATCAGTAAATAGTCACGCACTTAAGTAAAAAAATTGTGTTTAAATGTCTCCTAGATGGTTTTTATTTTTTTACAATTGGAAACTGTTCTTTTAGCCTTTATAAAGCATTTGCAATTTTGTTGGGGCTCACAATGGCCCAGGAGCCCTGACAGTTGCAAAATACAATCTATTATAAAGCCTTAGAATAGGAAGACTGGCTTGCCCGCCCACTCAGAAAGGACATGAATATTAAATGAGCGGCATGCCGATTGGCTGGTATTCCCCAATGGCTCTATGACTGCCTGAAGCTAATAACTCTGTAGGTGGGTGGGTGCAGGGGAGGGCAGTGTAGGAATTAGGACAGCATGGATGAGCGAGGTGTTGATGTTTCAAGGACGAGGACAATAGATCTATTTTGCAGTCGTTCATAATCTGGATATTCCCAGTTCATCCTGGAATGTGAACAGTCTTCTTCTTTGTTTTCCTCCTATTAGCAACTCAGGCTAGAGTTAATAATAGTTTGGCTTAGCGTTAGCAGAAAAGTGGGCTAGCGTTTGCAGTAGTTTGGCTCAGCGTTAGCAGTTGCATGAGCTAGCATTATCAGTTGTTCAGCTTAGCCTTTGCTGTAGCTTGGGCTAGCATTAGCAGTAGTTCAGCTTACCCCGGCTTTCCACAGGAGCCGTCAGCAGCACGTTACTGCAGCAGCACGTCATAGCTGCTGATAGGAACTGCTGTGGTCAACAGAACCTTTTCCACAGGAGCCGTCAGCAGCACGTTACTGCAGCAGCACGTCATAGCTGCTGATAGGAACTGCTGTGGTCAACAGAACCTTTTCCACAGGAGCCGTCAGCAGCCGTCAGCAGCGCGAGTCGGCCGCGTCTCAGGAGCAGCATGTCGCGGCCTTTACGCGCCGGTTCTATTTTCTACGCGCGACGCCTCTGAAACGGGTCAAGTTCGACATTTTTGGGGAAGGAAAGACAGGAAATCGGACGCGGAAATGGAGAGAAGCTCCCGAGATTTTCAGAATAAAGAACGTACTGCCTTCCGGTTGCTTTACTTTTAAAAAAGGTTACTAACTGTGCGGCCCCGTGAGAAGTTATCACCTAGCTAGCGGTCTCCTTTGTTTTTCAGGTCCGTATTGGCGATTATAAAACGGACAGAACATAAAACACAAACATTTTGGAGCCATATTGTAGTTTTCTCCTGCTTGTTGTTGTGTTTACTGATGAAGTCACTCGTGTGACTTCGTGCTCGGTCGGTGACAGCTGCTTCCCTGCTGCTTCGCGTCTCGTGGGAAGGGCCAAGCAGCAGCTTACGCGAGCAAGACGTGCTGCTGCAGTAACGTGCTGCTGATGGCTCCGGTGGAAAGCCGGGGTTAGCCTTAGCTGTAGCTTGGGCTAGGGTTATCAGACGTTCGGCCTAGTGTTGTTCTGGGGTTAGTAGCATAACCACGACCAATGTTTAAATATCACTGATGCTGAAGTAGGGTGGGACATTTAAGAGGGTGGTGGGGGGGTGTTATCGATGCTATACCAGCTTTTTTCAGGACAAACTATTTCTTAGCAGCCATTACAGCAATAATAATTTACATAGAAATGCAGGTCGGAGATGGCTCAGGCTTTTTTGGTATGCTACATTAAACACCCCAAGCTGCCTATATTCAGCAATCAGTGGTTTTAATTCTAGGATCCCTTTAAAATGAAACGGAAATCTGAGGTAGCTTGTGCCATGATTTGGTGGAGAATAGTGATGAATTTGTTGGGAATTTTCAATTAATTGCTTCAAACTCACCCAACCTGACTCTGCTGCAACTCAAATACCATCCTGTCACTTCAAGCTCTTCACTGACCTTTTCACACAATCCCCTACTTCTGTCCCGGTTCATTTAACAGACCTCAGAAGAGAACATCCGATGTGAACATCACCCCAGAGATGTGAGATATATTAAATTATTCATCCATAACGTCTACAAAACATCAGCCTCTAACTTCGGTCTGCTAATTATGATTTGATGAGCGAGACACATCTAAATCAGGCCCCACAAATTAACCATTGAAATTCCCAAGTCGGTACTTGTCACACGTATGAATAATTATAACTCCATAAATTAAAAACATTGGGAAGCAGAGTGTGAAAATTTAATCAAAACTAACTAATTTACAGGGAATTTAAAGTTTTTTTTCTGCTTTAGTCTCAGCTCACACATTAAGGGGTTTTAATGATGTGATTACAAATACATTATTATGAAAAAAAAACCACTTCCATTAGCCAGAGTGGTACAGAAGTAGTGCTTTTAACACTTTTGACAGTCGAAACTGTTATTATTTTTGTAGACAACATGCTAGTTTTGATCTAATTAATAAAACAGGGTTGTTATAGGAAATTTAGCCAGCAATATATTACAAATTTCTATTTAAATAACTAAGTGAAACTCATATTCACAAAAAAGTTCATACAATGATGAAACACTGTGGGATTTTGTAGATTTGAGTTATGTTCTGGAAAAAAATTATTTTTTTTAACAGAAGCCTTTCAGAAAACAACCTGAAATGGCAATGATAGTAATGGTTTATAACTTTTACAAATAAAAATCACATTTCATGTAGATTATCTAATGGAATAAGTGCCAATTTCTCATGAAACAATGTGCAACGGATTTAACTAATCTTTTAAACTGTTTCAATACATTTCATCAACAGCATTTTACCAAAGCCCTTCTGCTCATCAGCTTTATACATATATTGTAATGTGTGTGTGATTTTAAATGCGCAGTGATACTGCATTTTGTAACTCACAGGAATAGAGTTGAGGACTTTTTACTGGTGCTTACCTTGACTAAATGTGGCAACAGAGTCGTTTCCATGTCCCAGGTTAACGACGTAGCCGTGTTTGGGCTGAGTGGTGATGTGGAACACCACCGAGGCAGGTTTGCTGTCCCTGTCCTCTGCTTTCAGCGTTTTGGGGCTGATGGGAAATCCCAGGTGACCTGTGGACAAAATCTTTAAAGTGGGTGCTCCTTTGTTCACCACAACCTGGGGGGTGCCATTGTCGATTGCTCCAATTGTGATCTTCATAGTCTGAGGTTGCCTAGTCTCAAACAACGTGTCTGGGAAAACATAGAAGTCAATGTGTGTGCCGTCAGAGACAGTAAAAGAGAAACAGTCCTCTGATGATTCGGTTCCGTCGTGTTTGTAGCTGATGAGGTTTTCATTGAGGTCTTGTTTTGTGAAACTGGAGACAGGCGTGGTTTTATTGTACATCAGTTTGCCGTGAATAGGAAGTTGGGTAATGGTGAATCTGATCAGCTTCTCAGCGGTGTCCTGGTCTTCAGCAGTAAGCTCAAACGGAGTGATGAGCTTGAGCTGCCCTTCTGTGACAACCAGGCCGTTCACAGTCACAACAGGCTTCTTATTGTCCACATCTACAATAGAGATCCTAAATGTTCTGAAAATAGGATTGTAGCCGTCAGTGACTTCAAACTCAAAACTGTCCATTTTCACCTCGTCATCTGATGTGTGGATGTAGAAGATCTTACTCCCGGCCAACTGAAGCTGAGTAAAAGACACAATGGGAATCCCAGGTGTGTCTGTGCACTCCAAATGGCCTCTGATGGGGGCCCGGGTGACCGTAAAGACCAAGTTCTCATCGGGACTGTTGAGATCAGTAGTGCTAAGAAGATCTGTGGTTAGAGTCACTCTGCCACCTTCTTTCAGAGACACACCTTTGCTGATCACATCTGGAAAGACCATGTCAATGCTGCCCACAGTGATGTAGAAGTAACGGTCAATGAGAGGGTTTATTCCGTCAGTGACATCAAATTTGATCAAGTCCCGGATGCCCTCCTGTCCATTGTGTGCGTATAGTATAAGTCCTTCATCAACTTCAGCTTGTGTGAAGTTCATGCCTACAGTGATGTTCTCCAGAGACCCAAACTGTGTTTTTCTGTGTAGAAAACCTTGACCAGGTCCAAACCGGACAATATATGTTAACGTACTGTCCTCTGAGTCTAAATCAGTTGCTTTGAGCACTTTGTTGTCAATCTCTTTGAATTCCCCTATTTCCACCTCCAGTCCATCATTGATGGCCATTCTGGGGGTCTCATCATCAACAGGGATGATTATGATCACAGCTGTCTTTTGTACTGAGTACATTCCATCAGTCAGAAGGACATCAAAGCTGTCTTCTGTCGTCTCCGAGTCCTCGTGCTCATAAATAATACTTGATGCCTCTCTTATCTGTTCTAAAGTAAAGTTTGTCACCAAAACAGACCCAGTGGAGAGCTGATTTAAAATGGCCCCATGTTTGGGAGGTTTGGATATGATGAACATCAGCTCTTCAGGTGGAATATCGGCATCTGCTCCGTTTAGAATGGGAGTGTCAATAACAATATTCATTCCCTCCATCACAACTATTTCTCTCAAGAAAATCTCTGGCTTTTCATCATTTTTTGGGATGATGATAATTGGGAAAAAATGACTTTCTGAGAAACTGATGCCATCAGAACACCTAAATGTGAACCTATCCTCCACTGGTTCCACCCCTTTGTGAATGCTCTGCACATAGTAGACATTTCCCTCCCGTATGTCTCTGATGGTGAAAGCACTGATAGCTGTTCCTGACCTTGACTTCTCTGAGCCTGGGGCAGGGGATATATTTTCTACATAGCCTGCAATGGGCTGGACAATGATGGTGCAAAGGATATCATCTGTTGGAGTGTCATTATCATCAGCGTTCAAGTGCTGAGGGCCAATGCCATATTTCTCTCCTTCAATAACACTAAACTGAATTCCAACTCCAACCTCAGGGGCCTGATTGTCGACAGGAAGGACGGTGACTTGAATGTGGACTCCGTTGACCTTATTGCCCCCTACTGTCCAGTCGTCAGACATGTCTGTAAGTGTTAGATTGAATCCATCCTGCTGTGAAGTGAGACCTATCTCGCCACCGGTGTGTGCATAAACAACTACACCGTTAATTATGTCGGCTTGTGTAAACTTTGTGGCCGGCAACCCTTTCACCAGGATTTCACCCCAAACTGGAGGATCTTCTACAATAAATGTCAACTGGAGGTCATCCGTGTCATCGTCGTGGCCTTGAATCACATTCGTTGTAATTTCCGTGGCTCCGTTTTCCAGTACGTCCATGTGGAATCCGATCGTCCCCACAGGCAAGCTGATCTTTGGAGCTTCATCATCAACGGGCCTTACATTAACTTTGACCGTCACAGTCACCACATGAAAGCCATCACTGACCCCCAGCTGGAATTCATCACTCACTGTCTCTTCTCCGCTGTGAATATATGACATCTTTCCTTCTGAAATATCCTCAAGTTTGAAAACCCCGTTTGTCTGCAGGTCAGTGAACGCAACCTGAATCTGGCCGTGCCGAGGGGGCTGACTCAGAGCAAAGGTTATTTTCTCACTCTCTGTATCAAGGTCTGTGGCATCCAGCTCAGCAATGGTGATGATGTGCACGCCACGTTCAAACACATCAAAGCCAGTGTTTGTGATCTGGGGGGGGTTGTTGTTTACCGGCTGCAGGTAGATTGTGAAAGACCCCTCTGCGGTGTTCCCAGCTGCGTCTTCAACTGTGTAGAGGAACTGTACAACGTGAGCAGTGATTCCCAGCTCGACATCTGGGGGTGCATAAGAGATCTTATGATGGTTGATTTGAGCTTGTGTGAACTCAGAAACATCAATGTCGGGGCGCTCCGTCAGAACCAAAGAACCGAACACGACTGGATTGTTTTCATCTATATCTGTTGGGGCCTTGGTGACCGTGTATTTCAGGTCACGGTCCTCAGAGTCCAAATCCGTGTAGCGCAGGACTTCCTTACTGAAGTGTGTGAGTTTGTACTCCTCAACAGTCATTTCTAAAGAAGTGCCGGCAAATAGCTCAGGGGGAACGTCATCAATAGGTAAAACACGGATTATAAACACGCTATCCCCTGATAAATTAGGTGGATCGTTGTCATCCTGTACTCTAAACGTGAACTGATCCACGATTGTGTCTGCGTTGTGTGGGCCCGTGTGCTTGTAGAATAACTTGCCGTCTGTGACGTCTTTTTGAAGCCACTCTGTCACCTCCTTCTCATACACTTCATCCTCAGCATTAAACTTCCAGGAGGAGGGGTCCTCTGGGGCGTCTGACTGCCGCAGAAGAACTGTGCCAATTGTAGAAAAGGGGGGAACAATAGTGAATTTAATTGTTGAGTCTTCTGAGTCAATATCAGCTGCACTGAGCATGAGAGGAGATACGGGCATCATTTGGTGTTTGAAAAGCACCAAACCGGTGTTGGCATTGATGATGGGGGGCTCGTCATCAGTGGGGACTATCGTAATGGGAAACAGGAACTCCACTTCGTTTGTCCCATCTGTCATCTTGAAGACAATGTTGTCACTGTACGTGTCACTCCCATCATGCTGGTAGATAACAGTCCCTGTTATTAAGTCAGCAGGTGTGAAGAAGTTCTTCTGGGAGCCCAGAACCACGAGCTGTCCGTGCCGCAGCCCATCCACCACCGTGACTGTGACAGCATCTGGGTTGTCCTCATCGCTGATCTCCAAGTTGTGGGAGCTGATGAGAGGCCGCGACTGGCCCTCGTACAGCAGTTGACCCGTGTTACGTGTGACAACTGGTGCGAGAGTGTTCATCGGCTTCACCACAATCATGAAAGCAAACGGGTCTGAGGTGGCCCCGTCTGTGTCAATCACCTCAAACTCCAGCTGAAAAATCCTCTCGGTGTCTGAGTCCAGCGAAGGCGGCACGTATGCTATTTTTAAATCATGCAGGTCTCTTTGGTAGAAGGATGTGATTGGGAGGTTTCTGTCATCGGTGCTGACAACGTAGCCCTCCTCGTACGATAACGGGGAGGTGATGTTGAAAATCAGCTCCTCTGGATCTGACTCTGCATCCTCAGCAGCAAGTATGTCAGGCGTCAGGGCAGTCATGACAAACTGGCTCACCTCCATCATCATCATGGACACAAAGCTGGGTTTGGGGGCAGTGTTCTCCTCTCCGCTCCTGATGCGAATCATGAGGTGAAAATACTCCTGTTTCACCAGGTTGTCTTCCTTATCATGCAGCTCTACAACCATGGGGACATAATCCCTGTTCGGAGACTTGAGATCAAACGTGTGCTCGTAGTGGATACCAGCTTGTAGGAACTCATCACAGTTCATCATTGTGGAAAGTTTCCCCCCATCGATGAGCTTTCCGTACCTGGGCAGCGAGGTGCTACCAGACAGGGAGGTCACCTCACATTTGAAGGACTCCCTGTCAAAAGTAAACTCAAGAATCTTCTTGTCAATCTGATTACTAATCCCTTTCAGATTATTTACAGTGAGAGGCATGTTTTTGGTGAGTAACTCCAGCTGCGTAAAAACTACTTCAACCTCCATCATAAAGGGGATAATGACAGTTTCTGTTTGCGCGTCATACCTGAGCTGCAGCCTCACTCTGTCTTTAACAGGAGTCCTGGAGCCGTAGTGGGAATAAACCACATCACTGGGACCGAAATCACACGGAAACTTTTTGGGAGAGAGGTGTCCCGGTCGCTGCGAGAGCGGATCGTTATCCAGCACGGTGATGCTGCACCGGTCTCCCGGCTGCGTCTGGATCACCAGGTCATTGATGGGATCGATGAAGAGCGACCTCCCGAAAGGCACGCGTATTCCGTTGTTGGCCACCAAGATTGCATCTTCTGAGAGTTCCGATCTGAGCGCGTAAAATAATCCGGAGCTGTCTTGCTGCGCGCAAACGAGACCTGTTACTGAAACGCACAAGAGAAGTCTGTGGAGCAACATTTTGGACGCGTCACGCCGCCAGAAGAAAGATCCCCGGTCCTCTTTCACAAGAAGGAATAAAAAAAATCCACAGGGAGATGAGAGTCAGGAGGATTTCTGCACGGAGACTCCCGTGCATCAACCCGTCCGAAGCCCCGACATGCTCAGTGAGAGCAGCGCGCAGGAGTTTTAACTCCAGGTGGCTCTGAGGGGAGAGCTACCGCCCACCTCTTCGCATATTGGAGGGTTGTGAGGGCTTGTTAAATTCAGCGTTTCACCAATGGGCAGCAGAGCTGGCAGTCACAGGGAGGCTGGGATTAAAACATGAGCCAAAGCGGCCACTTCTCATATCATCCATGAGGATGTGCAGTTATAATTACAGGGAAATTATCACAAATAGAGAAAAAGCTCCTGTTTTTGATTTATTTTGTGGTTAATTTGCAACATTCACCGGATTCATTTCACTCATCTACTGATTATGTTTTATTTAGAAGTGCATATGCATTCAAAGCTTGAAACATAAACAACTCATTCAGTGCTGTACGAACAATAGTTGCATTTTCAAAGAAACAAGTATACACAGAAAAAAATGGTGGATCAAAAAGTTGACTTTACGTAATTTAATCCCAACAAATTTTTCTTGGTATTTTATCAAATAAAGTCAATAAAAGATCCTCTTTTAATGTAAACTGTTCTTGTTTATCTGACCTGTGTAACTATTCTAATAAATAGCATTTGTGATCATGTAAATGTTCACTGAACACATTTTAGTCACTAAAAGTTGATTACTATGGCCAAGAATAATTTTTTGTTTTGTTTGTTTGTTTGTTTTTGGGGGCATACAGTTTCTTTCTTTGATCTTATTCCGATCAAATACAGCACAAATGACACTGGGGATTTGCTGACCCATACAAAGTTATTTAAAGTCCTCCTAAAAATGGGATCCGATTATGACAGGTTTACTAGAAATGATTGGTTCAGGTTTTTGCTTTAGTTCATTTGATTTTAGTTTCATCATTTTGCTGAATAACAGTTGTGCCTTCATACATTTTGGTTAAATGTTACATAAGTTTGAACTGGTGTTTACTAGGACTTAAGTATTTGTTGACATTTTATTTTTCATGCAGGAACCCAGAAATCATGTGGTATTTTAGAAAAAAGGAAAAATAAGATATTTTTTTCTAAAAATGTGAAATAACTCAACTGTGGAGCCAGTATGAGTACTTTTTATATTTGTGGAAAATTAAGTGTCCGTGCCTGGTTTATAGCTTTATTGGTAATAAAGTGCAGCAGAAGCTCAGGAGGGAGAGCAGGTTGTCCAGTAATAAGAGGGTTAATTCTGCTGTCGTGTCCTTGGGTAACACACTTAACCTACCCCGCCTGCTGGTGGTGGTCAGAGGGACCGGTGGCGCCTGTGCTCGGCAGCTTCACCTCTTTCAGCGCCCCCCAGGGCAACTGTGGCTAAGGTGTAGCTCATCATAATCAGCATGTGTGTGTGTGAATGGATGAATGATAATGTAAAGTTAGTCTGTCAAAGGTAGTGTAAAGCACTTTGGAGTACTCTGACTCTGAAAGGCATTATACAGGTGCGGGTCATTTCTCTCTCATCAAAGCTAAAAATCAGGTACTTCCAAAGTGCGGCCTGTGGGCCTTTTATGGCCCTCGTAGTGATGTTGTGCGGCCCCCATTTTCATTTCTGTTCAATATGGTAGATCGGCACTTTCTAATGTTACCGTGTTCATATTATATTAAGCCTATTTTGGACCTGTTTTATGACATGGACACATTTTTATCAGTAAACAAACAAATGATGAATGCATGCAAAAAATCTGTAAAATTCCTATAAAATGGTGACAAATGCTGACACTGAATTAGAAAAAAATGGTTTGATATTTATTTTATTTAATGAAAGAAGATATTTTACATGTTTTAAAGCAGCTTAAGTGAAAGATTGATGTAAAAAGTACTTGATGGGATGGAGAATCAGATGAAAAATTAACTCACGGCACCTCAGAATAATCCGCTGATGAAGTCATCACTTAGGTCAGAATTTCCAATGATTAATTGTTCTTAGTCTCCATCTTGGTATTCCACACAGATGCAGGTGATCTCTCTACAAATACTGGTGAAGTAAAGTCATGCTTTGGGCTTTCTTTCTTTAATTAAAGACACAATCATTAGTCAGTCCAGTCCTGACTTATCTAACCTCCAAAATGCTTCTCGTTCACTCCGCTGTATTTCCACATTCCCTGCAGAAAGCTACAAAGCAACGATTTGACTCTTTATTGCTGTTTCATGTATGCATTCATCCATTTATTTATTTACTTGTTTATTTGGGCCTCTAAATAATGCCGACCTTCCCCTAAGGAAGATAAGGCACAGTGAAAGCCTTACTATCGCTCATTAAGTGAGAAAAATAATGACCCGTGCCAGTACTGCTTATCTGTCAGGTATGACGGGGAAAAAAATCTGAAACGTAGCCGTGAGCAGCTGCGTCGAAAACACATTTGGCTCTTAAAGAGCAAGAAGAACAAAGTTGAACTTGTAGAAAGAAAACCTTTTATGTTTTATGGTGATTAGGGAAAGTTAGCATGGCAATATTTTTAATAATGTCAAATATTTTAAGATGATATATTTTATTATGATGCTGCACGTGTGGGAAATAATGTTTGTAAGCTGTCTGAGAATAATGTAAACGTTCTCTCCTCTCCCTCTACTGGATAAAAACGGAATTACAATTTCATGAACAACCCTGTCACCCTGGCAAGGTGTTGTACTTAGCATTTTTAATGAATTAATTATTATTGGCAGTTTGGAACAAAAGGGAAAACATTAGGATTTTCTGCTTTTTTAGATGGTTTGAAACTGAAACCTAAAAGTATACGCCGCGGCAATGTTCACTTTGGTTTTAGCCCTAATTCAGATTTTCTCTGTTTAGCCTCCAACGACATTTACCTCCTTTTTTTCTGTCAGGCTCCGCCATGATGCCAACAAAAAAGCTAAATTCCTTTTCTGCTTCTTGCACTTTTTATTCGCAGTCGGTGAACAAAAAAAGCTAACGGCTAGCCTTTATGCCAGCGACGGCACAGTGAAGCAGGTTGAGACGCCACACTAGTGCCGACCTGAACCACTACATTTGTTTAGTAGTATCTAGCCAACAGAGGGCAGCAAAACGCTCTCTCACATGAAGCTGCCCTAGTGTATGGTTCAAAAACCACAAACCAGTTTGAAAGCAACAGCTTAAAGTGTTTTATTTTACAACTGTAACATGTCTAGTTGTTCTAAAACCGAGAACACAATTCTAAGATGAATATTTTAACAGTTCCTCTTTTCCGGTCCAGTCATCCTCCTGCCTGTGAGACCTTTAGATGTAACCTCCAGCTATTTGTGACTTCTCAACTCTCCACCAGCTCCGTTTTAAACAGCGGGAGATTAGAGGGTTTCTGGAGCCTTGTTATTTTGAAGAACAAGACAAAGCCTGCTTTTTCCAGCTGTCATTGACTTCATATGCACAAATGCATCGTTGTTGTGCTAAGAAAATCCCCTAAATGTGAATGTCAGGCCTGTTGGGATACATGAAACAGATTAGAGTCAACACTAAATCTTGACGGCAGACACAGGGTGTGATACAGAACAGAGGAAAGTGCGATAATTCACCGTTACACATTTGCACCTGAATCTTCAGGCTAATAATATTTCATTCAAACATTATTTTGATAAGAAGAGATTTTTAAAAATCTGCATAAATCGTGCTGATGGGCACCTGCTTAACTCTCTGGATGGTCAGACTATTGTTCTGCTCCCATGTGACTAATTAGCACAGAAATCGGCAGCTCATCCCTGCAGCCCTCTGTCACCTAACAGGTACAATAAAACTTTTGGAAAGCTCAGACTCACATTTATAGCACATTCAAACGGAGCTGAATTTGTGGGTTCCTTCCACACAGCAGCTGCACTGCCGTGATAAGACCACATGCAGTAATTTTGAGGTTTGAACTAACACGACGACTCAGTCGGAAGACTCAAAAATTGCCAACTAATGACACCGTAAGGGTCAGGTACGTATCAAATTGTCACATTTGCATAAAAAACTTTGAAAAAATCACTTGCTCTTGCAAGCCAAGTCAATATTTGCATGTGTATATGGTGCAAATGTATATTTTTTATTTGATATTTTCTTCTTATTTGAAACAAGCTTTGGATTATTGTTTTATTTGTAAATGAATAAATGTAACAAGTTTTACTTTACTTTTCTCTGGAGGCAGGCGTTGCAGATTTGCAAAGTTAAAACTATACATAAAACCTACCTACCTGTTTACTCCACATACGTATTTCATGAGCATTTTTTATACTCAGAAGTACCCCTGAAGGACTTAGTTGTTCGTCCTTGTATCAACACTTATTTTGAGCCTGAGAGGGGTTAAGCGTGGCTGCATTTTGGGTGAGGATTATGTTTGTTAATTTGAAGGAAGAAGCTCTAGGCTTCCAGGAGAGAAGGAGGGCAGAAAAAAAACTGTGTTTGAAGTCTTATTCATTATTATTCATGATATTTGTACATCTGGCCTCTGATTGGCTAACAGCATCCCAACTCTTCCACTGCCTCCATTTGTAATGTTGATGTTTAATCTTCACAAATAATACAAGCTTGAAGGATTTCTGTCGTGTTGTTGAGTTGCTAATGCTAGCGGTTAGCGTCTACCAGCCAAAACGTACTCTACTCTCTCCTGGACGCTAAATCAACAACAGCCTTCCCCGGTCACAAGCCAAGATGGCCGAGTCCATGAAAGCAAATTATTCAGTGACGTAGATCTGAGTGTTTCTTCAGACCAGAGCATTTCTCTGTTTGTTTTCCATTGATGACTAATGCAGGAAATAGGGGTAGAAGACTACTTTAGAGTCTTATTCATTACTGTTCATGATATTCGGACATCTCGCCTCTGATTGGCTAACAGCATCCCAACTCTTTTCCCTCAGAGGAGCTGGCCCAAGTGGCTGGGGAGAGGGAAATCTGGGCCTCTCTGCTTAGGCTGCTGCCCCCGTGACCCGACCCCGGATAAGAGGATGAAAATGATTGGATGAATGGATGGATAGACTATTTTCATGTTCAGCCAGCATGTTAAACTCATAGTTACCAATCATATTTCAACAATAACAAGTAAAAACAGTGTCTCGGAGAACCTGCTCTTAGTGGAACCAGTTGACATAACTTGGTTAAGTAAATTCAACCTTTCATTTCTTGAGTGCAGTTGAATAAAAAGTAATAAATTCACATATCAGTAATTGAGATTTCCTGCTGTTGAATGTTGTGATTTATGATATATTGACATA